TGTCCGCGTTGGATGCCGGCCGTGACTCCCGGCAGAGGAGGGTGTGCACGGAAACGAGCCCAGCGATTGCTTCTCCAGCCCGTCTGCATTACCTTGCCTTGGCTGGGCCACGGCTCCTCCAAGCCCCGATTGATTTGGTAAACGTAGCCATCGTGCGCTCACTATTACTCATTTTAATCCCAGCGTTACTTCGCAGGCTGCAGCTCAAACCGAGGGGGAAGGCAGCTTGTCACCACGTCTGCAGCGATGCTGACCCGGCTCTTGGCTCCTGCTGTAGCTGGATGTAAAAAGACTTTCAGGGAGTTCTAAAACTAAAACCTGCCTCTTGTTTTAGGAGAGCGTGAAGGTGCTGCGGCTTACTCTGCCGAATGACCTCCCGGGCGACAGACGCGAGCAGGTGAAGCAGAAGGTGCGTCTCCCCCGCGGTTCAGTTTGGAGTTGCAAATACAAGTTTGTGAGTTAATTTAGGGAGAGGGGGAACAGGCATTTGGGGGAGGATCGGTCGCTTTGTGCTTCATGAACTAGAAAATTCACCTCCTGGTCTGTTAGACGCTTCGGTGCCAGCTCCCGAGGCCACGCTCAGCACTACCTTCCTCTGTGAAAGTGCACGATGCTCATTTGACTGGAGCCGGGCAAACCGTTCCAGCCAGTCTCGCCTCTCTGAAAGCCCTGCCGCTTCTGTCTCTTGCAGCCGGTGGGAAAAGCCTTTGCCATGGTGGCCAACAGATCCAGCAACGGTCACTCCCTGGCCTCCGAATGCATCAAGTCCAACGACGGCGATGAGGAGATCATCAAGGTACAGCCCCTGGCTCCCCAGCTTTGTTGCAAAGAGATCTCGTTTAATAAGTGGGGCTGGAAAAAAGGTTTTATCTGAAGCTACGCTGGCAAAAAGCTCCCTGGTGTAGCTCCTGATGGTGCGGGCAGGAGGCTTGGTGCGGTGCTGCTGGCTGGCAGCACCAGCGCGGTGGGCTTCCCCGGTGTTGGGGGGATGCAGCGAGAAGCCGGGGCAGCCGTGGTGGGTCTGCACAGTGGGGGTCACGCAGGAGGAGAAGCTGCTTTGAAAAAAGAACAACAAAAAAACAAAAAGCTGGGGAAGGTTAACTGCAAAGGGGAAACCTGCGGGTGCCGTGGCTCAGGAAGCGGTGATGTCCTGGTCCCTGTGGAGCTGGGCTGGCTGGAGTCGGGACGGTCTGACCTGCGGCCACTGTCTCTCCGGGGCAGGTTTACCTGAAGGCGCGGGCCGAGGGCAGCGTGAACCACGAGGAGCACGTCAACCAGCTGAAAAGCGAAGTTCGTTACATTCAAGAGGTAGTTAATGTCCGCGAGGGGGGGGCTCTGGCTTGTGTGGCTCTGCCGCGCGGGGGCTTGCGGCGAGGGTCCGGGGTGCTCTGCTTCCCCCGGGGGGGTTTCACGCGAGTGGGCGGCAATGCCCGCGCCGGCTGTGGCACTCGAGCCCCGGCTGAGCCCCAACCACTCTGGCGAACTGGCAGTGGAGCTGAACTCTCCAGTTTGTTGACTTGCCTGTACAGGGCAGTAGTCTAATCAAGCGCCATAAATTAATTCAGCCTGACTAATTGCTCTGCTATATGGACTGAATTTGAAGAGAATTGCGTGATGACTTTCCCCCAAGGCTGTCCCCTGCATGCCTGGGTGCGGCACAACCGGAGCCTCTTGTTAAAAGGCAGTTTCTTTGGTATGTCTCATCTCCCAAAGTAAACTGGATGATGAGGCTCTCAGAAGATTAACCCTTCCCTCTGCTCCTGGTGGGGATGTTATTTCTGGAGAGCTGGTTGCAAGGCACGGAAGCGGTTATGTGCATGTTCTGGTCTGGGCTGCTTGGCCTGAAAAAAAAAAAAAGAGATAAAAAGGGGAAAAAAATAAATTTGGGTTTGCTTTCATGGGGGAGTTTGTGCTGGGTGCTGGCCTCGGGGAGCAGCAAGGGGCAGATCTGGTAGGGCGGCCTCCAGGTCTTTTACGTCATCCTTCTGACTCCTCTGCCAAAACGCATGTTTTATTCCCCCCCCCCCGCCAAAAGAAAACAGCCTGCTCCCGCTGCCTCCTGCCTGCAACCCAGACCTGCCTGGCTCCTGCCTGCCCAGGGCTGCAGCGCTCCGGGGGTGTTGCTCATCCCAGACCTTCTCGCAGCCACCCAGATGCTGCAGTTTTTGTGCGTGATCCTTCCCACTCCTGGGGCTTCGACTTCAGCTCTTCTGATCTGAGCTTTCCTGTAGCTCCCCGCAGCTGGAGACAGGAGTCGGGTTTTAAAAGGGCCCCTTAGCAATAGTCGAGCGGGACTTAGACCTCGTCTGGCCGCAAAGGCTCTGCGTAGCCCTATCAGAATAGCTGAAGCAGCGCAACCGTGCAGCACAACTTAATCCTGCATGTGAAAACCAGAGAATAAGCTAAACAAGTAAGTCATGGTGGCGGTACCAGTCTGTCCGCATCCAAGAGAAGTGCCCTGCACTGGGTCATGGTGTAAAAACCTCAGGGATGTCTTGATCCAGCTGGATCCAAGCCATGGATCGCTGTCCTTGGGATAAGGACTTGGTCGCTGACCCGAGAGCTGCACGTTGTGCTTGCGCCTCATCCCTTGTCCTGGCGCTGCCCAGTCTCCGGCAAACTGCCTTGCCCCACTCACCTCGGGCATCTAAAATCAAGGGGTAGGGATGAAGCCACACTGTTAATGCTTTGAGAAAGCTTTTCTTTGAAAAGCGTTGGGGCAGCGTTTGCTGTAAAAGCCTGTAAATCATTCCTCTGGCTCACTCACTCTGACTAATTCGAGTAGCTGCAAGTCAAGACTGTACTTGTCAGCGTCCTGCAGCGCAGCAGAGAGGGAGCTGGGGAACAGCAAGGGTCTTCTCAGCACTGCAAAGGTGAACTCGATGACTAATGCATGAAAAATCAGTGGCATCTCCAGATTGTTGCTTTTTTTTCCTTTTAATTTTTTTTTTCTTCCCATGACCATGTGGGACAGCTGCCTCGCAAGGATCCCATCTGGCAGAGACGGTGCTGCTTGCAGGCAGGGCTGTAGTAAAACCAGAGGGTCAGGCTGCCAGAGAAGCCATCGATTGCGTACCGGCGCAGGGCATCGTAGCAGCCACCGCGCCTTCGTTTGATTTCTGTTAGGCTGAGTGACACTGTCCATGCAGATCGAGCTAAATTGACTTGCCTTTGCCAGGCTAGAAGTTCTTTGAAGAAGCTGCGGGAAGACTTAAGTAGTAAACTTGAGAACAGACAAGGAGCTAAACAGCATGCACAGGTAACGGGAGCATTTCTCGGGCGTTAAATGGCATTGAGTGATTAAAAAGATGTCATCTTTGGGTCCGGAAAATGATAGAAGGGGCCTTAAAGATCGAGGCGCTTGTGGCAAACGACAGCCACGTTGGCACCGTTTACAGGCAAAATTTGAAACTTTGCACAAGCACGTAACGAGGAGTCAGTAAGCAAAGCGCGTTGGCTGGCCAAATGCACCATTGCATGTTCGTTTGCGGGGAAAAACCCCTTGGTCTCGAGTGGCTGCGGTGCCCCAGAGCTAGCTGTCTGCATGCGACTGCGCTCTCGCGTGAGCGACCGTGCCGGCCGGCGTTGCATCCCTGTCTGTCCTTTGCTTACACAGGTCGTGCTGGAAAAGCAGAACGGGAGCTGCCTGTACCCCGAGAGGCTGCAAGCCGATTCCTGGGAGGACCAGGTATGGGGCTAAAGAGGGGGATTTCAGTGCTGTGGGAAGAAATGCCAGGTTTAGTTTGAGATTTTCCTCCCAGCAGGTAACTTTGAACCCGTTCAGCACACAACTGGGCGCTCCTGCAGCAAACTCGAGTCTTTTTATCAGGGTCAGATCAGAAACAGAGCACGGCTCTATTAGAGCAATAAAAATGTGCATAATGGGCTGTTAAAGCTCTGCACAGGAGAGGTTTTTAGCAGGAGGGGTAACAGGCATCTTCAGCTGGTAAATACTTCTCCAGCTTTTTGTCTTTCCCCTGGCTGGGGCAGAGGCTCTGGGCTGGGCTTTCGGGCTGGGTTGCTGTGGACCTGGTTCATGTTGCGGGGTTTCAGGTTGCCCAAGCGCGGATGGGGATGGCATCCTGCGAACAGGGCTTGGAAGGCAACCAAAGGATACCATGCATGTTATCTTGAGGGCTGGAAGCTGTCGCTCCAGTGTGGGAGGTGAGGACAGGAGCGCCTTTAGTTTTTTCAAGCTGAGAAGTGATGTTACCAGGCTTTGTCACCAACAGCGCTGCCCACGTTGGGGCGGAGGGCTCCTTTGATACCTCCCGACTGCTCATCCTGTCCTGTTACCGTCTCTGCAGGAGGACGACTGCTCAGGTGAAGACGTAGAAAAGATCCGACAGACAGCAAAGAGGCTGTTCGCGAAGCTGCAGGAGGCTGAAAAGCACCATCAGTTGGAAAAACAAGCTTTTGAGGTGACTATGCTGCGCACTTCTCTGCTGGGAAAGCATGGTTTTTATTTTATTTTGGGTTTTTTTTCCCCTTTTTGGAAGTCTGAGGAGCTGCATGGGCACGTGAGTTTGCCAGAGGTGTCTGGCTTCTCCTTGCAGAGCAGCGGGCTCGGTGCATGGTTAAAATACACCGGGGAGTCCAGACCTGGCCAAACCCCAGCGAACTGCCTCCCTGCTTGCCCAGATGAGTATGAAGACTCAAATGCTTTCCCAGTTAAAAATCACATAAAACAAAAGCGTCAGCCAGTTGGAAGGCGATCCCCCCCAAACTCTGCTGAGCCTTTCCGACCGTAGCCAGGCGAGAGGAGTGTTTTGTGGGGTCCCCAGCCACGGTGCTGGGCTGCTGCGGCCGTGCTGGCTGGCGTGGCATCTCTCAGAGCTCAGCCTCCTCATCTGCGGGGCCGTTTGCCGAGAGAGGGGTGAGCCAAAAGACCGGGGGTCTCCTTGGCTTCTGCCCGGCGAGCGGTGCTGACGAAGCTGCTGCCTTCGCTTTCCTCCCACAGCCCTGGTGGTTAATGGTCCCCTTGGGTTTGTTTTCTGGTGACTGCTCATGTCCCGGATGGGCTGGGCCTGTCCACGTCACCCCGCAGCGCTGGTGGCAGCGGTGACGTCCCGGCTCGCATCCTGTCCCGCAGACCAAACTGGTCCCGGCCAGCCTGGAGGGTTCCTCACGGCGGGACGGGGGACAGCGTCCGCTGGGGAAGTGGGTTTGAGCGACAACCGCTTCCTCCGGCACCGGGACGTCTGCCTGCCCGCAGCGGTGGCACGTGCCCCAAGGACACCTGTCCTTGCGCATCAGAAGTCGTGTGGTTCAGTGGCATTTTGGGGTCTTTGGTCAGCTGTGACGTTGACTGTGGGTTCTGGGTGTTCCAGCAGCTGTTGATCCCGCCAGCGCTGCCCAGATGTTCTCGGTGTGCCTTGTTGTCTGGGCCTGCTCTCCAGCTGTTGTGGGGACCCATGGGGACACCCTTGTCCCTCTCGGCTCCTGCCATGGGTGCAGGCATGGGGCTGGCTGCCGAGCACGGTTCCTCGGGCAGCCCCAGAACGTGTGTGGCTGAGAACGAACATGTCTCTTGCGTTTGAGGAGCCTTTATTGCTACAGCATTTAGGCGCGCTCTCCTTTGAAGTGCTTTGAAGCCAGGGAGCTTTCTGAAGAAGCTCTTCTCTCTGAAGCACGCCGGGCTGTTTGCTGAGACGCCCGACTGCCTTCAGCAAAATCTGCCTGCCAAGGCTTCCAGCACCGGTGCGGCTTCAAAACGTTGCTCGGGAGAAGGGCTCCGGTGGCGCGAGGGTCGGGGGTAAAGGCGTCTCCTCTTGTTTGCAGAGGACGGTCTCGCAGTACCAGGAGGAAGCGGAGCAGACGAGCTCTGCCCTGCGCAGAGCGGAGAAGAGCGTGGTGGAGAAGGAGGTGCAGGTGGATGAGCTGCAGAGACTCCTGGCAGGGATGGAGAAGGTACCGGCCCTGAAGCCGTGGTGGGATTAGCGGAGCTGCCTGGTCCCGCTCTGCTGCGGGGGGAATCGGCAAGCCCAGTGGTGATGAGTTTGGCAGTGCTCAGCGCCCACCGTGCGGAGGGTTTGACCGGGGAGGTTTAACCCAAAAGCGTCGGGCAAAGCCAGCCACTGGGAACGGCTGAGAATGGAGCGTTGCTGATCTAGGCTTGCGTTGCTCAGGTCTAGAAGATCTGGTCGGTCTGTGCAAACTCTTCCAGGTATCCTGGAAACGAGCGCTCAGTCTAGACAGCCGCCCGGTTCTTTTTCTCATGGGGGCACTAACACAACCTCCGGCCCTGATTATTTTATGTTTTTTCCTGCTGCGGTCTGCTCACAATACTCTTAAAGCCATAAATGTAACAGCGCAGTGTGAGCGTGAAGTGATTTGGGACTGCCTTCCCTGGCCCGGCAGCGGGGAAGGAGCCGGGTCGGTGCCTCGCCTGTAACCTAGGGGGAAAGGAGCGGGACGTCTGCCGTCGGTCATCTCTGCGGCCGCCCGCGTCTGTCTGTCTCTTGCATGTAAATTTACTGCTCGTGAAAACAACCCGCAGATTGAGCGAGGAGGCTGAGCTGAGCCTGCCTGGGCTCCCTGGGTGTTTGTAGCTCGCCGCCGTGCAGCGCAGGCCAAGGAGCATGTGTTGCGACTTGTTTCCGTGCGTGTAACTCGGCCTCTCGCTCTGCCGCAGGAGCACAGGAGTTTGCTGCTGAAGATGAAAGAAGGCGAAGCAGAGCTGGCGAGGCTGAGAAGCGTGGAAGGCGACAAGCTCGCCGAACAAGACCGGTGAGGCTTGGCCTCCGGCACGGCTGCCAACTCCAGAGCAAGCCCACGCCGCTGGGTCGGGGTGTCAGCTCGCTGGGGCATGACTGCACATTCCTGCGAAGGGCGTGCTTGCTCTCTGGCTTGCAAAACAGCACCCTACTCCCAAGAGCTGACTAATCTCCAAATACCTCCTGCAGTTTTGCTTTGCTCCGAGAGATCCAGAGCTCCGGAGCCGGGCTGCCCGGAGACCTCTAGCGGCCCCGCTGCAGGCTGGGAGCTCGGGGCAGGTCCTAGGGAGCCTCCGGAGCAGCCGATTCTCCCCATCATGTCAGATTCGTTCCGCCCAGCCGGTATCCTTGTGCTCCAGGGGCTAATTGGCGATGGCTTGTTTCTGGAAGGCCTTGTTTGTGGCCTGACTCTTCCTGATGTTCCTGTGTCCCTGCAGTCTGTGGTTGCTAGTCTTTGTGGCTCCTGCTTGAATAGGTTTTGTCTCTGCCTCTCCTTACCTCGTCTAGTCAAAGTATTTCAACTTTGTGCGGCTGCAGAGAAGACCTGGCTGACAAAAGCTGCTCTGGGCAGAGCTGGGTGGGTGCTCCCTTTCTGGGAAGCCATCCGACAGCTCCCAGACTCTCGTCCTCTCCTTTTCGCAGGTCAGCCCAGCTGGAGAAGGAGGTGGCCATGCTGCGGGAGAAGATACACCATCTGGACGACATGCTGAAAAGCCAGCAACGCAAAGTCCGGCAGATGATCGAGCAGGTGAGAGGATGCAGGGCTGGGGTGGGAGGGAGGAGGAGGCAGAGCCTGGGAGGCCTCAAGAGGGCTTTAAAAAAAAAAAATATAGAAGAAAGGAGAAAAAAATTAAATCTCTTCAGCTGCTCAGAAGCAAAGAACTGCTGGTTTGTGGGGCTGAGTCCCTTTGCAAACCAAAGGCAGCCCAGAGCCCTGTCCTGCGGCTGACCCCGGTGTGATGGCCCGAGGGGGAAGGTAATAAAAGGAGCAAAAAAGTAGCAGAAAAGGAACGAAAAAGGAGTGCTGTGCACCCAGCTTGGCCTGCTGAAAGAGTTAAATCATCTCAAACTGTGTGAGCAGAGGCTCCTTCACCTAGAGCTTAATTCACAGACTTAATTTGAGGCTTTTTTTGATTGTTTTTTATGCAGACCTTGGAGTTAAGGTTGTGGCTGTTAACAGGCAGAATAAGCTGCCCTCCTCCCTAGACGTGCCCCCAGCCCAGCCGTACATGAGAGGGATTTTCAGCTGCCATGAACTTTTCTCTTACAGCTCCAGAACTCCAAAACGGTGATTCAGGCCAAAGATGCCGTGATCCAGGAGCTGAAGGAGAGAGTGGCTTACCTGGAGGCTGAGGTACGTCTTAGCGGGGCTGTTTCGGGGGTTGCATGGGGTCTGTTCCGAGCTCAGACCCTCTCCTTGAAACCCCCTGGCACGACTGGTTTGTGCACGCCTGCGGGTCGTAGCTGGGCTCCCTCGCGGTGATGAGCTTCACTCTGGGCAGAGCGGCCAGCAGCAAAGTCCTTCCCCGGCACTGACACCTGCCTCGCGTAGGAAAATGTGCCCTCCGCAGCCCCGAGGGCTGTGCTGGTTCCCCGAGCTGGTGGTGATGGTTTCCAATGCAGCCGGGGTTGCTGGAGCAGCTGTGAACTCAAGCCAAGTCCAAAATAATCTCATCAAGCACACTTCTCTGGCAGCAGAACCCTTCTTGCTTACAAAACTGCTGCTGAGTGCGTGCATGTTGGAAATTAAAATTGCATTCCAGCCTCTAGGATTGTAACAAGTGTCAAACCTCTCTCCTTTTTCGGATAAAAACTGAGCCTGCATTGGTGCTTGTAGTATTTCCTTCCCTCCTCGGCGATTTATTTTGCTAATTTCTGCATGGGGATGGTGTGTGTGAGCACAGCCAGCCATGAACCCTGGCGGAAAACATCCAGCGAGGGAGATTGTGTGCCGGTGGGTCTCTGTGTTGGGGGTTTGGTGGGTCTTACAAACCATCCCGGCTGTCCTTTGGCAAGCAGTCCCTATGTAGGGCTGGATTTCATTTCCCTCAAGAAAAAGCTACCCCGTTGCAAGAGATTTTACAGGAGCGTTCCTCGGCAAGCAGCCTGTGTCCCTGCAGCCCGCCTGTCCCCAGCTCCCTGTCGCTAACCACTGCTCCATCTCTTGCAGAACCTGGAGATGCACGACCGCATAGAGCACTTGATCGAGAAGCAAGTCAGTCGGGGCGGCCACAGCTCCAGAGCACGCTCGAAGTCGGAGTACGTGAGCAGGTACGTGGGGAGCACGTACCCTCCAGTGATGGCGGGAGCCTGCCTGGCTGCTCAGCGGCTTCATCTGCAGATCTGCGTCTTACCTGGGGCGGCGGGAGCTGTGGGCCAGGAGATGATGCTGGACTCAGGGATGCTCTTGTGGGAGCAGACTGTATTTTTTTTGGCTTTGCAGAGGTTTCCATTGCTGCCTGTCTCCCTCAGGAGTACAGGGGAGCAGAGGGCCCTCCTGTGGGCAGTTTTGGGGGGAGCCAGCACCGAACCAGGGCTGGGGCAGAGCCTCTCCCGCAGCTTTTCTCCTCAAACCCTATCCAGCTCGTCTGGCTGAACAAACCCTTTCTGTCTTGCAGCAAAAGACTGACGGGCCCCAAGCCACTGCCTCTCATTCGAGTAGTGGAAACATGAGTTTCGAGGGCCGGTTCGAGCTGAAGACTCTCCCCTTGTTATCGTTGACTGGATTTCCCTGCTTGACTGCCATCCTCTGGCCTCTGTGCTCCCGGAGTCTCCCTGGAGCCGTCGGCGGAGGGCCGTGCCCTGGAGAACTGTGGCAGCCGAGGAACGACGGAGCCGGGGGGGGCCTGGCAGGGGAA